GTTGCATTTCTTGTTATTGCTGCGCTCGTAACTTTTCCATTCCGCTCTACTTTGCCAGTTTTTTATACACATTCTTTCATACAGTCATCAAAATAAATCCTCCCACAGCAGTGATGGTTTCGCTTACCTTTTTTAACACTCTCATCAAAAAAAGTAAGAGAGGAACGTGTCCGCCAAACGATCTCACTACAACACGAAAGTGTGCAAAAACGAATGATCGCATCGGCCAGTCTGGTGCATGCTGCCAATGATTCGACTTGATTTTTTGAACAATTTGCATCCGAGCTTTTATTAAGCATGTTCAGGGGCCGCGTGGAAAATCAGGGCCACCGGGTCCGCCCGGCTTTCCTGGTACCAACGCTCCGGATGGTCCGGCAGGGCCGACAGGTGCTGTAGGTCATATAGGTGATGCTGGGACAACTGGACCACAAGGAGCTGCTGGTGAAGTTGGTGATGAAGGCGATCCTGGTATAATTTCTTATTCCCCCACATTTCAAACAATTTTGTAAAAAGTGGCGTACAGAATATTAATTACTGTTACTATACTGAAAATTAAATCCGATGGGCAGAGCGCGCTGCTTGCCTTGTCGACAACCGGTGTACGTTGCGCGTTAGTGAGTGAGTGGTATAAATGGAAAAATTAACAACTCCTCGGGCCATCCTCCGCCCGAAAAGTGATGCACATATATCTGACAGGCTGGAGGCACTAGGTGATGGTGTACAGCACAAGATCGAAGAGCTTGACGTAGCTGTGTCCGAATTGACAGTATCATCACTAACATGGGACGAACACATCGACTCTCTTGGCGGCCTTGGTATTCCCGGTATCTGAAGCAGTAGTTTAACTACGAAGATTTAAAAAGACATTCGACACAGGCGATTTATCGCGATTAAAGAGCAGCGCTGCGCAGAGTAGCAATAGAACGAGAGAGTTATGAATCGCATGCAGCCCAGCAAGTAGATACAGAGAAAGGTATTCTGCTGTAACATTCGCCTGAGATAAAAGAATCTAGAGCGGTTTTTTCGTTCGATACATACCTACATTACTAACCTTGCGCTTAGAAGGTGGGAAAGTTAGGAGATATGGATAATCAATAAAACTTACTTTTTGCAAGGGAGCCTTTGAAAATAAACCTTATTTTGCAGGGCCCGATGCGGAATACTGCGCCTGTCCACGACGGCGACGTTTATTTAGACCTGAAAGACTCACCATAGAACGATTTTTGTCACAGCTACAAACAAAATACGCAGCAGCCCCAACAAATACAGCCGGTATTGGTGATCGCTTGGAGAATACTACTTCAGCTGATTAACCAAAATACTTCTTTAAATTTCTAGAAGAGTTCGAGCATGCCGTAATATTCACTGAGGCTGCTAAGAGTGTTCTACCTGTCGATGTGAAGCTTCGATGCTATTGACCATACAATGCGAAGCCCTTCTCGTGCGCTAAATGGCTTCTATCACTGAACGTCTGTGCACATAAACTCACAATTTCATCAAAACGAGGTCATTTTTTCCCTACACTCATTCACTAAACACAACAGTTAATTTAGGAACAACAGAAAATAGGGGGACTTTTTTTAAAGCTCTTCAATAAAAAATTACTTTCGAAAATTCAGCACTTATAAGAAAGGTCCAGGCAAGTTTTCCCCGACAACCGCTGGAGCTTAATGATTCCTTACCAATCAGCTTCTGAAATTTACAGTCTAAAAATGGGTTATTGAGAATATGAGTTTTCTTGGCTGCTGACGTAACAGCTATATAATTCAGTGTTCGGCCAATGTAACATAAGGTGAAATATTTAGATCTCGTTTAGTGCAATAAGAGTGGGACTAAACGAAACGTAAATCGAGCTGAGACCTATGAAATATGGGCGTATGAAATGCTAAAATACCGAAGATCATTTACTGGTTTCCTCAAATGCCTTTTCCAAGCTTCGTTTTGCGTTTTCAAAATCCTTCCTTCAGTGATGGACCATTTCAATATCCTTTGATTTTCAACATGCGTTTATTTGTCATTTGTTTCGTCTTTTGGTATGAAGTCTGTACTAACAGGGGTGTAGTCAGTTGTTAAATGTAATTGTTCCAAACCTTTTCATCCTGAGTCACTTCTACTATATGCCAGTGCGCGACCTAAATGTTTCATATTCAGCTTTAAAGCATTTGCCTATGTTTCGCATGCGCGCAAGTGAATGTTGAGTTCGGGACACTATTGGGATCCAATTTACTCGGTAATCAAACTGAACAAGACGCAGAATTTTTCTGAGGGTTACTGCTATTGTGTGGGCTACCAGTCATGAAATAAGCCTTTGCCTAGACATGGACCCACTGCACAGGTGCAAAAAATGTTCAAACTGCAGCGCCACAGCCATGCTCCAGTCTCTGTACAGGATAGAATTATGCAAAAATGCATGATCGCATCGGCAAAACTGGGATCTCGATGCTTGTATTTATTTTTATGCGTTTTTGCTGTGCAGCGCTATAGCAGCGTTATAGCGCATATTGTCGAGAGGCTGTCTGTGTGTGTGTGTGTTTGGAAAGCGAGTGCATTTTGTCACCCAC